TGTAATTGTGCATATTCTTGCATTTGATCATATATATGATGCAGTGAGAGGGGGAAGCTAAAATTCTGTCCTATAATATTTCAATTAGTCTCTTAATTAGCTAACTAGTTTCTAGTATACCAGTATACCAATATCTAATCCCATCATATCATTTCAGTTTTTTTTTTCTAATTTTTCTCTCAATTTTGACTCTTCAGTCATGGCTGCCATCTCTTCTCCAAATTCTAGCAATACCTCTCCTACTGAAATGTGTTGCTGTACCTCTCCTCAATCCCTCCCTAAGCCAATTTTCACTCCTCAGGGTGATTTTGAAATGCAAATCTTTTCAGGTACTGTACCTACTAAAAACTTTTCAATGGCTTCTATTCACTTAAGGAAAAAAAATCCAAATAACCCCAGATTGAGATGATCATTCACATCAATGTATAGTTAGATAGAATATATAAAGCCATAATTCCTGACTATTCTTCCCTAAATTTTATTTTTCCTCCAGATACAATATAGCAGAATTAATCTTGTGGGTAAAAATCATACACAATGTAATTCCCCTTGAAAAATCCCTTAGGATTTTTTAAAAGACTGACATACTGTAACAGTCTAAAAGATCCAGCTTCTTTTCCACCTCTGAAATGTTAAATCTGAGAGAAGGAATCATGGTCCTCTTTCTTATTCAATGTTCTCTCTTAGGGACACATATAATGTCTCTGTCCTGTGTCAGTCAACATCACCCAGCATTTTAAAAAATTATCAACCAGCTCAGAATAAATATTTGAACTCACATAGAGGCATGCACAGTTCTTATCTACCCATCTCTGGCTAGTACACTCTTCTATCTCCAATGTCCCTGAGCCTATGTCCTTCAAACCTTGTCGACTACTCATTCCTACATTTTGCTGCAACTTCTTCATTAAACTAACTTTTATCTCTGCCACCTGGAAAAATCTTTTTTTAAAAAAATCTGCTCAAGTTCCTGCTTGAAATCCCATGATCACTCTTTTTGGCCTGCTGCATGATAAAGTCCCTGCTTACGCCAGCACTGCCTAAGCAGACATTGGCACCAGATGTCTACAGGGCCCAGGGAAATGGCACAAATGAATGAATGACAGACACTGTGGAGAAACAGGAAACCAGAGAGCACACCTGGAACTGCACAGTATTGCAATCTCTTTCAATTATTCTAGACAAGCCAGATTTTTAGCTAAATCTTTGAACAATACATATATTCAGTTCAAATTTGAGATGCAGCTAGCCAGTTTGTAACTTTGCTTGACATTTAGACAGAATTTTCTTCCTTTGTCTAGAATGTTCTCTCCCTTGCATAGCTTCAATCTCAGTTCAGATATTTCATTGAGCATGATCAAATCACAACCTGCCTTCCTCTTTTCATTCTGTGGCAATGAAACATTTCCCCAGGTCTCACAGCACAGGTATCATTTTATCCAACACTTTCTATGTCCCAGGTACATGTCCAGTGTGGTAAAGGCATCATCTCAATCAATCTCATTCACTGTTCAAAAACACTGTGAGTTACACATATTTGTTTTTACTTCACAGGTGGGGGACATTAACTAACTGATGTAATAACATCACACCTAAAGTAGGAAGACGGCAGTGTCAAAGACTAGATTCTGCCTTATCTCAAAGTCTCACAAGAGAAGGCATTCTTCTTAAGACTTCAAGATTATCTCAAAGAACAAGGTGCTAAAAATTATGATCTATATTGTATTGCTACATCTTTTTGTTTCCATTGTGTTTTCGTTTTTGATTTTGTTTTTGTTTTCCCACAAAAATCAGGATCTCATTGAGGGACAAAGATTTTTCACTCATTATCATGTTCCCAGTGCCTCAGATTCCACATCATAAAGATCAGGGATTCTTCCTCCCTCAGCCCGACCATCTGTTCACTCACTCATTTTAATTACCCTGCATTCACTGAGCACCTGCTATTGACACTTGTTTGACTCAGATTTGTGGAGCAGGTGAGCACTGGGTTTGTGGATATATTTGGATGACAATCACAAGGGAGATAGGAGTGAAGAACTGGCTTCAGATGTAGTTAGCATACTGCATGAACCGGCTTGGAAGCCAGATCAGCTGAGTTTGGATGACAACTCTGCTCTCTATTGGCTATATAACTTGGGGTCAAGTATTTTATTTATTCAGACCTCAGTTTCCTCATCTGTAATGATTGTTAACTAACTCACTGACTTTTTTGAGGACTGAGTGAATTCATATGAGTAAAATTTTTATACGTAAATGATTAGTTGAGCATTATCTAGTGTGATGGATAATTTATGCATCCACTTAGTCTCTTCTTTGGTCAACGCTAGCCTAGATGTGACTGTTAAATGTATTTTTTGGATGTGATTAACATTTAAGTCAGTAGATTTTTTAGTAAATCAGATGGCCCTCCCTAACACGGTAGGCCTCATCCAAATAGGGAAAGACTGAGGAGTCTCACAAGAGAAGGCATTCTTCTTAAGACTTCAAGATTTCAGACTCAGAACTGCAGGGCCAACTCTCACCCCTATTTCCAAGCTCCTGGGATACTCTGTAAATTGCAAACTTAGCAGTTCTCAGAACTGTGTGAGTCAATTCCCTAAAGCCCCCTTTTCTCCCTCTCCTTGTCTCTCTCTACACACACACACACACACACACACACACACACACACACACACACACTCCTCATACTATCCCATTGCCTTTTTTCCCTCTGGAAAACCCTGACTAATGCAGAGAGTGTTACATCAAGGAGAGTGGAAGTAAAATACCGTTACAAAATTGATATCAACTCCATGATCGAATTATTAAGGTACACCTAGCCATCGCTAATGATTAAAAAGAAACACTTTGCCAAACGACCTAAGGAAAGCAATAAAGAAAATAGTCCCTCATCAACTTACTTCAAACTAGACATCTATGATTGAAATAGTATACTTTATAGCTGAAATTTCACCTTTTCCCTATTTTTTTTCTGAATAGACTTGTTAAACAAAGTTGAGGGGAGACCTAAGAGGAAGTTTTATATCTACATAATAATAGTGTAGACATTTGATCATAAAATCTCAAACTACAACTTTACTTTTTTCCCCCTTACTCTCTAAAGATCCTCCTTGATCTCTAGGAGAGAGTCATTCCACGTCACATTTGTCCCACTCTCCCTCAGTTCTTGTTCCCCTTCTCAGGAAGGACTCCTCAGGCTTCAGTCCCAGCCATGGAAACCATCCATCACTCAGAGAGGGAATCTTACTGGCCCTGGAGCAGGAAGCATGAAATCTCATCTAATGCCCATGATCCTGTCTGCATTTATGATTTCTAGACACAAATTTTTATTTTCCAGATAGAGAACTGTCTATCTTGCTACTATGATATTAAATTAGATTTTAATAAAATCAAAACAAGAAAGGGTTTTTTCCGAACAAACATAAGGATCATTTGTAAACGACAGGATCAGCATTTTAATAAATCTGATCTGCTCAAAACGATAATAAATACCATTTCATCTGTGCTTGTCATGCCAACTACTGTTCTAAAGACCTTACAAGTATTAACATGCTTAATGCTCACAACCACTGTGGAGTTTGACTCATTTGAGAGAAAATCTAAGGACAACAAGGATATTGTATGAATTTTTGAAGTTTCTCTACTAATATGTATAATTAGGATATTAAAAAAGAAAAGATTGCTGTTTTTAACCACAGCCCCTCATTAACCTCTCATAAGCTCCAAGGAGTTTCAAAAAACTATTTTAAAAAGTTACGTTAGGTATTTACCAGTATAAGTCACTTGCATGTTCTAAAATTCACGTTAAATTTTCAAGTTTGAACTATGATTGCTCCCTCACGCCCTAAATGATTACACAGCAGACGGATTATTTACTTAGTACTCTGGGCATCCATTCTGGCTTTACCATCTGAGAGAAGTCTTGGAAAGTCAAAGTGAATTTGTACTATCTCTAGTGAGAATTTACATCCCAAAGGCTGTCTTTCTCTCATCATTAGTTATATCAGGTACTCTGCCATGCTACATTTTGGGGCCTGGTTTCTTTTTCTATACTCTCTTCTATCAAACTTAGCCTCACTTTTACTTCCATCTCTTTCTGTATCTTGTCTACTGAGTACGAGTTCCATGGATCAGGACTAAATTGGAGCACCATCATATGCCTGGAGTAGACCCATGGGCTCTGCTGTTTTCCTGCATACTTCCCTCCTGGCAGCAATACCTCTTCACCACATGACTCCAGATCCTCAAGATACAGAATCTCAGTGGGTTGCTAGAGACTTAGAGAAAGGACAGTCACAATGTAATATCTCACCATTGCCTGGAACTAGAAGCACATGATAAGGGTTTCTAAGCCCATTCAAAATGGCATTTGTTCTCAGTTTGACTAGGTTCACACTGAGAAACTATAGCATGCCGGTTGAAAGCATGGATTTCGGAGTCAAACTATACTTTAGAATGCCAGCATTGCCATTTACCAAATATAACCCTGGGTAAGCAACTTAACTTCTTTGTGTCTCTGTTGTCTTCACATGAGATTGCATATGAAACCCTGAGCTCAACACTTGGGGAAAATATGTTTCTAAGAGTTTTAAGGCTTTAAACTTGGATGACCTTTTATATCTCAATCCTTAACTTTTAAAAAATTTTTTTTGTTGTTGTCAATGGACTTTATTTTGTTTGTTTATATATGGTGCTGAGAATTGAACCCAGGGCCTCATACATGCTAGGCAAGCACTCTACCACTGAGCCACAATCCCAGCCCCTCAATCCTTAACTTTTATTGATAAGAAAAGTGAGGAAGAGAGAGGAAGTTTGAGAGTACATAACAGATTGTCTGGCTTCATACACAAGGACATTTGCCACCCCACTGCCAGTCTTTCTAGAAGCTCCTGGATCACAACTCTGCCTTTATGGCTTATACCTCATTTATGAAAGGCTAGTGTCTCTAAGTTGTTTTCTTCAGGAGTTAATGGAGTTGTACTGAGCTATTATCTCACCTGTTCTCTGTCCTGAAGCTCAGGACAGAAAAGTAGACAGGGTTAGGATGCCAGAGACGAGCATGGGTCACAGTGGAGCAAACAGCATTCACCGCAGTCTCACAAACAGGGTTGTGGGTAGTGAGGTAATCAGCCTCACACAGACCTGGAGTAAAAACACAAAAACACAGGCCCTGCTGACCACAGAAGTCATCCTTCCAATTCCCTGCCAACTTGGGGTTGATAGAAACAGATCCCAATACAGATTAAAAGGGCTTGTAAACAAATACATTCATTGGATTCAAATCTTGTCTTTTAAAAATGGTTTTAATTCTGAAAAAGATTGGAAAAAAAAATGGATAGGCTGATATGATTTATATGACTCTGGTTTAGTCCTACAGTCCTTCCTCTGATCTGAGGAATAAACAAATACAACATGATATGTCTTCATCCACACCGCCAGGCCCCTGAAGAATATTCATATGAACCTAGAGAACAACACTGCTTGCAGGCCCAGAGCCAAGGGACACAATGTGAACACAGTCTTGCCCTACACATATTATTTGGAGCCTTTTTCAGGTATGGAGAGGCGGTAGAAAGACAGCCCTCACTTGTTTTAATATTGCTTAACTAAATCTCTTCCTCCAGCTCCTATGTCACCCTCTTCCTCGCTGCTCACCCCAAATCCCTGGGCAGACAAGTCCTGTATTCCTTAAGCCTTCACAAAAGTCATCTGGAAACAGCCAAGTGGGGCAGAGGGCTTTGCCATTCCTCTCACCCTCAGTGTGAACATTTTTATCATTTCTTCCTTGTTGCAGTCTAACAGCTCGCTTAGTATGTATTGTAGCCCTTGTTTTCTCCTTCATGTTTATTTCTGCCTCCAAGTTTCTTCTGTTTTTACCAAAACCATATAAGTTTCTCCTCCCATTACACTTACACCACACACACACAAAAGTTGGGAAAACACTTTAATTATTCCCAACCACAACACCACTTCTAAGCAACTACAAAGAAGAAAGCCTTAGAGATACATAGCTCACACTAAAAGTTCAAGGAGACCAAAGCCCGGGAATGGTAGAGCCCTCCCTGCAAAAGCCAGGGTGGAAATGCAGTCTTCCTAAATTCCAACAGGGTGCTCTTTCCACTGGTGGCTGTTTTGTGCCTTCCTCTCTGACAAACAATACTTGATAATCCATCCATGAAACATCCTTGAGTAGAAATGGGCACTGGCCAGGTCCCCCTGATAATCTGAGGTGCTGCTCGAAAACAAACTCCTTTCAGGAAGCAATTGGTGTATGTGAAGGGGGCAGCTTGGGGTGGGGCACTAGGCTGCATTTTCAAAGGGAGGACAATATATGAAAGGGCATGTGCTTCTTTCAGCTTAAGATGCAAGGGCAGACACAAATACTGGATATGCTACTAACCTGCTGTGTTGTTTTATGAAAGTCGTGTTTCCTTTCTGGGTCTCAGTTCTCTAAAGATCTCTGAGGGCCCTTGAGGAGACAGATGATGACAGGACCTTGAAGAGAAGAAAAGGAGGAGGAAAAAAGAAGGGGAGGACGGACTCTGAATGAAGGAGAAGGAACGTGTGTAAGTAGGAATGGGGGAGGAGTTGGAAATGTTTTCAGTAAGATATTGGGGCCCGTTAAAAGTGAAACTGGAGCTCTTGCGGGGGTCCATTTTTCCTTTTCTGGCGTTTTTATGTTTACACATCCATAGTAATTTGAGCGTTACTAAGGAGTAAATGAATGAGAAGCCTGACCAGCGAGGAGAGAAATGAGAAGAAGCGGCAACGTACATACTTCTGGTCATGCTCCAGTTGTCCCATCATCGCTGGCGGGACTGTCCCGCAGCAGCGCCGTGGCCAGCGCCAACTCCTGCACACTGGGTCGCGCTCCTTGTGAGCCGCCCCGAAACCGCCAGGGGACGCAGCCCGGCTGCAGTAGGGGGCGGAGCTGCTTTAAATCGCGGCGCCCGGCGGTTGCAAGTCTCAGAGCCTGAGCCTGGGAGCAGCGGCCACTTCTTGCAGCCGAAGTCCAGAGCTAACTTGGACTGGGACCCTGATCCGGAAATAGAGCCTCTCTAGCAGCAGCACAGGGAGCAGGATTCCCCTCAATAACTTGGTTGGAGCGCCCCGGCTACCATCGGGAGCCCTAGGTGCGCACCTGCAAACTCTCCACTTTCTGCACCTGCCACCCGGAGCCTGCGTGAGCGCCTGAGCTAGCCATGGCCAACGCGGGGCTGCAGCTCCTAGGCTTCATTCTAGCCTTTCTGGGCTGGATCGGCACCATCGTCAGCACTGCTCTACCCCAGTGGAAGATTTACTCCTATGCTGGAGACAACATTGTGACCGCCCAGGCCATCTTCGAGGGGCTGTGGATGTCCTGCGTGTCGCAGAGCACAGGGCAGATCCAGTGCAAAGTCTTCGACTCCTTGCTGAATTTAAACAGTGAGTGTATCCCCTTCTCACAGCAGCCACCTACAGACCCCAATTCCCCCAGTGGCTCCCTTATGGGGTAGTGACCCTGTTGTGTTCTGTGATTACATGATTATCAATCTTCAGGTGATCAGATCTTCTGATCACGTGATCTGTTGTGAGGGATTAGAGACAACCCTGGTTTTGGGAAAAGGAGGCCTGGGCCTAAGCTCTAGTTTTGCCTCCAACTCCCTGGCACACTTTTCTGCCCCCACTCCCACCCCCGCTCCAGGTGTGGTTTCATCTTAAATTCTCATGAGGGTGGGTGGAGATTGGAAAAGTGAAGGCCATGTTTGAACTTGAGCTCTTAGGCCTCTTCTGGACATTCTGATTCTGGGTAACTTCAGGATTGGAAGGGTTCAGGCAAGAAAATGGCGTGCCTTTTGTAGCTTTTACAGTGTGCAAAATTAAATGCATGATTCCAAAATATCAAATAAGGAAGTTTAAAAAAAAAAAAAAAACTTTACTATGACTTTTCATGGTAAGGGTCACTTTCATACCTATTATTTCCCATTTTTAAAATCATGTAAGTGTGCAGAAGCCCCTCTCAAGACTCCTTAAAGAAGCCTCTTGGTATTTGCACAGACGTTTAGTTATCAAGCCCAAGGTGTTCAGAGGAGGTGGACCATATAGTATTATTTTAGAGAGAAGATTGATGGCAAGTGGGAAAAGGACAACAAGAAAGGAGGCTTTTGAATGAGTTCCCCAGCATACTATGAAGGACAGTAGAAAGGCCTGGAAGAAAACGCTGGAAGAGTAGCAGCTTATGAAAGCAGAGAGATCACCTAGGGAAGAAGGAGAGAGAATGCAAGAGAGATGGGTCTCCTTTTCTCTTGCTTAGTATCTGAGCCTGGAAGCTCTTATCAAGCTCTTATCAAGGACTTGAAGGTTCACTTCTCATTTATCAAGTTGGAAAGGATAATGTAGAGGGAAATATTTATATGGATGTTGGGGAGAAAGATGACAAAATGGCCTCTTCCATCTCTCTCCTTTTTTAAAAAATGAAAAGCTTTTGAGTGCCTTGTTAGAAAAATCGCTAAATCCCCAATTAGGTAATAAACTTTCATGACAGGATGATCTCTCTTGAGCAATCACATTTATTGTTGTGTACCATGTGTCTGTTGTATCCTTTAACCAACTTAAAGAAAAGCTTCCTCAGAAAAATAAGACTGTCCAGTCCCCATGGTGTGCCCAGGGTGAGCAGCTTGGGACTGTTCAAGTTTACTTCACTTGCTTTGCCCACCTCCAATGAGGAACAACGATTGATATAAAATGTCAGAAGCCATGTGGTTTAGAGTTATTAAACCTGCTTCAGACCTGATTGAACACCTGGAGAATTTAATCGATGTGTATGGTGGTTTTGTGTGTTGTCACTTTAGCTTTTCAAGATTCCCGCATCATGATTCTTTTATATCAAAATTAATCTATAAATTTAGTAGTTGTGTATTGTTTATAGCCTTTCTGTGATATATTTCCAAAGTGAACAATTGAGAGTGAATCATTGAATTGTCCCATGGAAAGAGAAATACTCTTGAAGGAAAAGGTGTCAGTCATTTTTGGCAGATGGAGAAGGTACTAAGGACAATTCCAGAGAAGTCTCAATATCAATTTCATTCCTTTAATCAAGATTGTTCATTTTCAACATGTTTAACTAGTATAAACTTAAATGACAAAATGGAAAAAGATTGATTCATGCTGTAGATACTCAATAAGATCATCCTTAACCATAATGCTGTGTTTAAATGTTTCATTTTAATTAATTTCTTGTTAATATAGTTATTATAGTTTTTAAAGCTGTGGTGGAAGCAATACATACTTCCGTCTCGCATGCATACAATTTGGAGACTTCTGGTTTGTGTCTTCAGTGAGAACAGATTCTCCTTTCTGCTTTGGTTAAAGCCATGGTTTATCCAAGATGGAAGTAAGGCCTTTCTCCCAAAACCAATTCCCAGGAGAGGGAATCTTGACTCACAGGTTCTTTCTCTTAATTGGCCAGTGACTCACTGGATGCTTTTGGATGGAGCCCAGGAAATCTGTCTCTGTTTCTCCACCTGAGCAGTGATGCTCACGCCCACCTGATGAGAAGATCTGGGGTGGTGACACACTGACTGGTTTTGGTGTAGTTCTATGACATATAGAGATGAAAAGGACTCTCTGTGTGCATAAGTAGTGTGCCTCATAAAAGGTTATGTTTCATGAAATGCTTTAAGATGAAAGCTTGACTGTAGGTTTCCTGAAATTGTACGCTGCTATCTTTGCCAGTAGAGCCCATTTAGCATTTTAACATTCCACATATGGGAATTTCTCAAGGTTTTAGCACTGACCTTGTTTCTGTGCTTTAACTGGTATCAGTTATCAAAAACATGTGATCTTCAGGAAGGATCTTAAGGAACACAGTGTGCTTACACTGTATACAGAATGTACTCTATATAATGTAAGACACGAGAGACAGCAGGACTTATTTTGGGTAGTTCTTACAAAGCAGTTTATGAAAATGAAACTGAGGAGGTACTTCTGGAGAAACACCTGTCACACAATGTACTATGATTTATAGGGGATAAGACAACTTTCATTGTACCCTATTGTGATGTCCATTGACATTGACAACTCTTGCAGCTGAAAGTGGAAATTTACGTGTACAAAGGAGAGTATCAAATATAATTGCAGCATACTTTTCTTAATTAACCTGTACATTTTGCCTTGTTTTAATGACATTCTCAACATTTGGGGAAGCTAATGCCTATGTTGCATGCTTCATTAGTTGCTTCTTCTTACTTGACTTTAATAGCTAGAACTATCCAAAGACTGGGCTGTCTAGGGAGGCTACGTGTTGGGAGGTATCCAAGCAGAGAATAAGTAAGCACTTTGTAAGAATGCTGTTGGGAAGATCCAAGCACCAGACAAATGGGAGGTTAGGCTAGACTCTTTAAGTTTCATCTAACTCTGAGATTCTGTAATTTGTTTATAAGCTACACTAGCCTGTTAAACTTGCTCTGCATGAATCCACATGTGTGTAGGTGTGCTTAATGAGTATTGGTTGTCATGAGGTTTCCCAGCACTCTCACCATGATGTCAGGCTCAGGCAGAGAAACAAAATCACTGGCTTGGACAGTCTTTGAAGCATGGATAGAGAGGAGGGCACCCACTTATGATTCTCTAGACTGCTTTATGCCTACGAAACCAAGGGCATTCAAAGGGCGATTGTTGTGCAGATGTTTCAAGAGTTGGTTCTGACTATTAGAATGATGGAAGTGTAATAATTTTAAAAAAAAAGCTTGAAATAAGAAGTTCTTAATTCTTAACCTGGTTTTGCATTAAGTAGCAATTATATATGATAGATAGGGATCCACTTGACCTCTCTTAGCTCAGGTGTTTTCCCCACACGTAAAATGAGGCAAAGTAGGAGGAACCAAGATAAATTCAATATTAATGCATCCATTCAAAAATGTGAGCACAGCCCTAATCACACTCTTAGGGATATAACTGGGATGATCCTGCGGTGCCTTCCAGTGCCAGTTTTCTGTTGCTAATTTTAGTGATGGAAGAGTGAAAAGCTAATGGCAGAACACAATCCTAAAGTGATGAGTAAGTGACGTGAAGGTGATGGAGAAGCCTAAATTTAATCATGAGGCAATTTATTTAAGAAACAAACCAAAGAAAGGTAGCAAAACCTCTCAGAGCATCCTGAAAAGTGCAAAGTCCTCCCTCATCCTGGAGTTACTGACTTCGCTTATGTTCTGAAGTCACACGAGCTCATGCACCACTAAAATGGAAATGCTAACAATGATTTCTCTTGTGAAACTTTGAACATCAGTAAAAGTGAAAGACTTCAGAAGTTGAAAAAAAAATAGGAATATAATCTGTGACAGTCTTGAAGAGCTTATTTAATTGTAAGGGAGCCAAGAACATTTTTCTTCTTGTCACACAGTGGTCAATTTTTTCTTTTATTCACTCCATTCTTAGCAACTACTAGTACAAAGAAGCACTGTGTGAGGATACAATAGAACAGAAATTTATTTTGTTTATGATATACACTCTGTAGGGTAAGAATATGGTAACATGGTTAGTAAGTAGCATAAACAATGTCAAGTATTTACATTCAAAGCTTTAGAAAAAAAATCCACATTCTTGTCTGTACTTGTCTTTCTACACTTACGTTGATGAATCTAAGTGCAGTAGATCAGTACCATGCAACTCATTTATTGTCTTATAAGTAGAGATCTTTGTAAATATTTTTTAAATTATACTTTTAGGTTGAAAGTGGTGAGAACTCCTTAGGGGGTCTTAAGCTCAAGATTACCAGTCTGGCTAAGTATAATTAAAAGACTGCCTTCTCCATTTACTGCTGAATAATGAAGAGAACCAACAGCATGACTTTTTCAATGTTTACTAACCAAATTCTCCACAGACAACTTC